TGCAAACCAAATGCCAAATATTGCTAGCGCTCAATGTTTTTTTTTTTGGCTCTATCGCTTTGGTTGCATGACAGTCAGGTTGCGGTGCGTGTACTTATACGTGACGGTGCTGCTAACGATGCTACATACATACATATGTACATACATGCATATCTACATAATACACACTTTGATATGTAGAAATAGAAATTCGAAGAAAAGTGCTGATGAAAGATGTGCTGGTGATAACAATTGCTGCTTTGGTTGAAAGTTCAGTTTAGTTCAGCTGAGTTGAATTGAGTTCATTTCGGTTCAAAGTTGAAACTCCAGTTAACAATGGCTTACAATCAGTATAAGAATGTTCCAACAGCAACAGCAACAACAACAAAGACAAAAACACTACGCGCTACTGTTATGAAAATGTAGCAACTTGGTGGTCGTAGATGACACAATACGTGCACATTTGCTTACGATAGCAAAACAAGTAAAGCAGAGTTGAAAGGAAAATCATAAAATCCGATGAAAACGAAGAATAAACAAACAAACCAATTTACGTAAAGTCACCAAAGTCATCAGCGGTGGTGCCACTGCATTAGAGTTGAAGAAAAGATGAGTTGTTGATTGAAGAGAGTACATACATAGATACCTACATACATACATACATACATATGTATGTAGAAGGAATCCGGTGTTGGTGCAGGTGAAGGAAACACAAATTGCTAAATTCAATTTTCTAGTTTGCTTAGTCAAAAACCAAACAATTGTGTTGTTATTGTGTATAATTGCATAGGTGTGTTGGTAATAGATTTGTGAAAATTTGCTTTTGTTGCTTATTTCGCTTACCATCGTCATCGTCCACAAGATCGCCTAGATCGGGCTCATCATCGTCATCATCATCGTCGTCGTCATCTTCATCATCTTCGTCGGCAGGCGCTACCGCAGGTGCTACATCGTTGACGGCTTGTTGTCTCGCAATGGCACGCTCTTGACGCTCGGCAAGCTGAACGGGAGAGGCTTGAATTTGTAGCAGCAAAGCGCTAAGGATGCAAAGTAATAGTACGAATTTCATTGTGCTGGAAAAAAACAAAAGTGATAAAAAGATATAAGATTAGTTAATTTTATTGGAAGTAAGAAAAATATGATATATTTAAATGCCTTTATATGCTGAATATTTGTAAGTAATTTTTGTATGTATGTATGTCAATGGAGTAGCTTTTTATTTTAACCCTAGAACACTAATGTAAGTCGATTCGACTTACACAGCTTATCTTTTGTGGTGAAGTTTCTTAAAAATGCATTTTTTGAAATTGAATTTTCGTTAATTCAACTACAACACAACCGCACAACTTTTGTTTTATTTTGCTAAGAAAGCATTAAAACAATAACGTATGGAATAGTTTTTTACGATTGATGCTTTAAAATCTTCAAAAAATCAGTGCTAAAAATGTTAACGTATTAAATATATGATCAGTGTTCTAGGGTTAAACTAATAAAAAATATTGCGGTTGTGTTTGACGGCGCTTCTACTCCAATTTGCGGAAGCAGTTTCAATGCTACATCCACTGATATTAAGCAGTATGTTGGCATATTGCTGTATATGCCCATCGAGTTCCAAATTGCAAATTATCAGACGACAAAAGTGCCAATAAAAAGGCTCGAGGATATTCGGAAGAATTAGTGGGAAATGTCTAGAGTGTCGAAATAACAACTGTATTGAGGAAAGTTACGAAATGTGTGCGTCTGGTGAAAAGCCACTTATATCGAGTGTTGCAGATTTTCCACCTATAAACGCAACCAGGTACGATAGAAAACATAAGCAATACATAGAAGTCGACTGTCTCAATGTCATAATAACCACATGGGAGGTGTTGACCTCATAAATTGCTAATTAGACCGTTACCGTATTCACATGAAAGCAAGGAGGTTTGCATTGCGGCTTTTTACGATTTTGTGGATATGAGCAAATCTCATTTTGTCATTATTTAAATTTAACGATTTTTCGATTTTAAGAGTTAAAGGTATTTCAAGACGTTAACATTAAACGGTGAAAATGTTCCTTTTGTCAAAAACTAATGTACCACTAAATGAAAAAGAAATACATTGATTATACGATGGCGATTTGCGAAACAAAAATTCCAATTTTAAAATTTTTATTGGCACACTCGAAATTTATTCTAAACTTGCTATGCACATGAAGATTTTAAGATATATGTATATTAGTGAAGACTGCTGTAGGGAATATTCCGCGGCAATATTTCATTAATTTTCAATAATATGAGTTTTAAGTTAAGTGGTGCTACGGGGCGTATACGTTTTATACACAACTACGGGTATATGAGCACGAGTTGTTATTTTGACTTTTTAGTATATCTTTTTAAAATACTTATTCATTTAAATACAACTTCGCGATGAAATCTTGTTCTTTATGCAAAACTGAAGATAATGCAGCGTCGAAGGTAAGTGTGCCACTATTTTCGACCAAGAGCACGTGTTATCGAAAAATTTAACAACTCTTGAGATTTTCTCTTATGGCCGTGGTAAACTAATACGTGATTTACCGTCGAATTCAAAAGAGATCAAGAGTATAGTATTCTTTTGAAGCAGCCTAATTTTCACCTAGAAATAGCTGCTGATGGGCTTTGCAATACTGAAATGAATCCTAGAAGACCAGTTGGCCGACTTCTTATCTCGGCCCTACTTCTCTGTTACAAAATTGTTTCTAAAAATTAAGTTTATGAGAAAATTTTCACGGCAAAAATGCGCTCGGAGGTTTGTCATTGCCTGCTTTGGGGCGGCCGATGTAAGAAAAAATTTTTTCCCATTTAGATGTTGCCCGGACCAGGGATCTGATCCGGGTCCTATGCAGTGCTAGTATGCATCACTAACCACTTAGCCATAGCGGCATAAATATGCAACGCGTCTTTTAAATGATACAGGCTTAAATATGTATGTACATACAAAGAGCAAATATTAAAGCGAAGACAGTGGTAATATTTATGGCATACTAACATGCTTCAAGTTCATTGCCATATTGTACGCAAGCACATATGTATGTAGTTATCTTTATTTTATGCAACTGACGAACATAGCTACATACGTACATATGTATTGTTTTTTTTTCCGCAGGTTCACGGATACAAGGCCAGTGAAAAATTTACAAGTATATATATGTATGTATGTAGCTCCCCATTCCATGAGAAACTAGGCAAGTGTAACACATAAATTAAAGCGCAAGCACAAAAACGTTTAAATATTCATACATACATATGTATATACATATGTACGTATGTGCACACCTAGCATATATTGAGGCCGAAAGCTGACCGGCAATAAAAAGAGCGCTAAAAACATAAAAACATTTATGTAGTGCTGACCACAGTCGGCACGAATTCATAGTTAATGCATACCAAGCGGAAATGCTACTTTCGTAGTCTTACTTTTACTCTGTTATGCAGTTTAATGCTTTCTAGCCGCACATTTTGCATTCTCATTTCCTTAACCGGCAAGTTGAACTGTTTTCATTTTACGTTTTTTACCCAACACATAATCGGTAGGGTTAAGTTACTAGTTTCCGAAAGAACCACGGTAATATATAAATATAAAATATGCCTCTCACACGGTGCATTGGATTTGTATAGAAGCCGTAAGATCTATCTTAATTTAAGGCGTCACATCTTGTTGGACGTCAATATATATGTCGCTCACTAATTCTAAGCTTACCAAGATTCAAAGGGCAGCATGCATCCCAGCCACACAATTTTCTTACAAATTACCCTGATATTTATAGGTTCACAATCTACACAACAGCGCCTTTCGATCTTGAGAACAAGTTCTTCACATATACTTGTTACTTCAGGGAATGATTTGGAAGAAGACTCGCACTTGGGCCTGCAAGGTAACAGTGGGATGCCCGTATAAAATAGGTCACTCTTTGACTTATCGACTATTCTCCTAATTGGCTATTCACTCTGAGGGCCAAAACATAAAATAACACAGCTATGAACTGATTAAAATTTTAACGCAATTGAACAAACCAAAACACACAATTTTTAATATCGACTCTACTTGTTTGCATTACCTGGTTTCCCATTTATAATAGTATTTTCCCTTTGACTTCTCTTGAAGTCATTCACTTCCCTGCAAAAAATTGTTCGACTAATCTCTGAAGAGAGTATTCCGAGATTACTCTCAATCGGGTACAATTGGGCTTTAATTAGTCGCAACTAGTCTCATACGGGTATTAATGGGGATCAATTAGTCTCGACTCATCCCTTACGGATATATTTGGAGACTCATCCCCAACGGGTCTTACTTAGTCAATGAAATTTCATGTGCGGCGTTGGCACATGAAGAGAGTATTCGCTTAACAAACCTGAGCACCTTGGTTCGAATCGCGGCTGGCGCAAATTTTTGTTTTAATTTTTTCAAAGTGACTAGTCGCTTTTTGCACCCATTCGGGTATAAAGAGGAACAATTAGTCTCTTCATAGGACACGCTCGAACAAAAGCGATCAGTTCATTCCATATAAAGAGATCAAAAGTGGTATTAGTCGCATGCTCCTTTGCAATTGCTCCCGTAGTCATTCCGGAGTAGTCGCATTTTATGCAGGGTTAGTATGTAGCTCACCAACATACATACATGCCATCCATAACGCGGCTGCGGTGAACCATTTTCTGCAATGGCTTGACCTAAATGTGCAATATTCGTAAATGTGTATCCTTGCAAAAATTTTGAACTGAGCTGAGGCACTTATATTTCCCATACTACTGCAACATATGTATGTATGTAGATATATGCTCATATGTAGGAGTTCTCAGCTCTATTAAAGGCTGTTGGATAGCAATATTTAGTACCAAATATAAATCTAGCGGCTATTCATGGGCATGTGAGTAGTTAAATTCACAGAAGCCATATATGTTGTACCCATGGTGGAATAATAACAAGATATTGTCAATAGCGACGTGTTTGTTGTAATTTTGACAAGATCGGCATGCTTATTTTCAGTGCTGCCGATCATAATTTTTATACCACTATTCTTTGAGAAATAGTTTTTAAATATTCCATTTTAGTAATTCTTTTTATCGCGATTTTTTAAGAACTTGGTGTTTTCAGAACGATATTTCTGTTTAAAATTGCTGGATCTGTGTAAGTTTTGTCCTCAAAATGTAAAAAAAATTAAAGATATCGTGATTATCAATGGGAAAAGACATACACAAATTATATAATATTAAATAACTTTTGCTGCATTTTCTTAATATTGAGACAATTGGACTACTGATATACTAGAGTAGAGTGGCTGCATTTTGAAATTAGGAATTCACTTATAAATGCGTTATTTATGTGTTTTAATCTATTCCAAAAGTCATCTGAAGTCTTATAGGAAATTACCTTACTATACACCTTTACTTTTTAACTGATTTCAAAAAAAAACTCGACAAACTAAGCCATTAACATAGAAGATTGTCACTTTTTTCTCATTTTGACGTAGAATACGTCTTACGTGTCGATATGGAGGCTATGCTCAAATGTTGTAGTTGTAATTTTTAGAGCTTCACGAAAAGGCTTATATTGCTCGAGAACTAATGGTGCAATTTGAAAGAAGAGTATGGCGTTTCAAAGATGAAATTCCAAAACTATCGAAAAAATTCATTTTTGTAAGTAACCAGTTCGGTTTCTGTCGCAGACACCAGGATTGTTGCGAATATTCGCATTGGCTAACGCGAAGATTCCGCATTAATTTTAACATTCGCATTCCCTTTCGCATTCACAGTAATCAATACACAATATTTTAATTTTGCGATGATTGTCAAAATTTGCACGCAGCGAAATAAAAATAAAGTGGAATGTGAAAAAGTTGAGCTAAAAATTATGAACTTTTCGAGTCTTTATTTACCTACACCACATAATTCACTCACCTTAACTATATATTAAAAACAATTGACATCCGTATTCGTATCCGCATCCGCGGATGTTAGCTTTTAAACATCCGCTTCCGCATTCGCATCTGTCTCAGAGGTGGTAATTCGGTTTAGATCCAATCATTGGATTATGAAAAAATAATGGTACTCC